CATACATGGATATGAAGCAAGGGAGTGAAGCGGGAATGGCCCGAATTGAAGAGCAAAAGGTCATGAGATCGATTTTTCTGCGAGCTTTCGTCTTCGCTTTTTCTAGAGACCTCGTTAAAGGAAACTTCTACTCATGCTCACCGATCAGCACTTGCTCATATCACAAGCAGTAAAAAATAGCGAGGAGCTTTGAACAAGTTTGGGCGCCATTCGCAAAGGCTGCTCGTAGTCCATAACGCACGCGTAACAAGGGTGACATTCGTGCTTAGCGGTCTTGTTGAATGTTAAAGGGACGGACCTGACTGGCGTCCTTTCAACTTTCCAACTCGAAGACACTGCCGGTCTCCCTTATAGGCCGATGTCAGACTTTGCGAATCGCGCGATTCGCTACTAGCGATTCGCGCGATTCGCTAGCGTCCGCGGTCGCGTTGCGGTACCAGCCCTAGCGAATCGCGCGATTCGCAAAGTCTAACATCGGCCATAGAGAGCCTTCATTCGAAACGACTTCTGTAATTCTGTTCACAGAATCATTTTGCAAACTTGGAAGGTTCATTTGAGATCATCGTCCGAAAGCGCGTCTGTGAGTATGGATTTCATTATAAATGGCCATTTTGAGTGGTATCCTTGCTTTGGGAGAGACATGGTCTAGAGGGGAGGTGGTCAAAAATTCTTTTCAACTGACTATAACTTATTACTGTCAACCTGTCAACTGCACCAAAAAACAAGATCCTACGATCTCCATGAACGGCACTATGGAACTAAAAAGTTTTTGCGATCTATTTTACCTCAAAGCAAGTCTCTGGTTACCTTTCGTCAGCACTGGGACAAAACGGATGATGAGTAGCTGGATTGAAGGTGAACTGTCCGATACCGGGCAGCTGAGCGACTCCTCGTTTATGCTGGCTGTCCATGAGCTTTCGAGAAGCGGATTTTGGCCGTTGCATACACATAACGCATGGCATCCACTGAATCAACTGAGTTAATGGGGTCAATACTTCGTGGAAATGACTAGGGATCTTACCTCTAGGAACAGAGTGCGTACCCATGCTGGCATCCGATGTGTTGTTGGACTACGGAAGTACACATTGATAATGATGACTGTTACCAGAATAGTGATCACGTTGAGCACGAACGTAAGCAAGAGGTACCTAAGAATTATACAGTAGATCTTTGCGGCATCTTATGAGGTCAAATGTTTGCCTCATTCGTATTTGCCACTGGAATCAGCTAACAAATAATGAGTGAGGAGGTCCGCGAGCACAAATGTTCATGTTTTTCAGGGACACAGAAACTAATAGTCTTCCTCGCAAAGTGAGACAACAAATTGTGAGACCCCATCATTAAAAATTATCGTTGACATTACTACATTCATGCTTTCTCAAAGGCAGGTGGCATGATGAACTGTGTAGTGAAAAAGGGCAAATGTGCTTACTATTTACAAAGAAATTCTGTGCCTCCAACGAAGCGAAGTGTGGCGCTTTCGCGGGCGAAAGGTGGACGAGTTGTCGGAACCTGCCAGCA